CGCTGCTCTCTGTCCAGAGAGCGGAGAGGGGGAAGAATTGCCTAGCCGGGCTGGGCCGATGCGCTTTAACTCACTGTGCAGCGCCCAAGAGCTAGGCGCTGCACATTACAAGTGTGGCGCCTAAGTCTGAGACGCTGCAGTGCTATCTGTAGGGCCGCAACTGGACCAGGGCTGCCACGCTGGCACGAGGTGCGACGCCCAAGAGAGAGGCGCTGCATAGTAGTGTGTGGCGCCCAGCTGTCGGGCGCCACATGAAAGGGTCAGCAGAGTGAAATTTTTTCGGAACGAGGTCAGTTTGTGATTTGATTTGGACCTCAGGTCAAATATGTGATTTTTGCCTGGAACATGTATTAAAAGTATAAATCTTTATTATCATCATTCAAAAAATCTCAATTACCTTTGCAAAAAGCATATCCCTAGGCGGAACTCTGTAGTGAGGCTTTGCCTGTTGTACGGTGCAAATTCTGTTTTCGCACCAGCAGCTTTGAGTCTGCTGCTGAATATGCGAAGTCTTTCTCCGTCCAGTGTTTACTTCAACCACATGCTTCAGAGTTCCGTAGCAAAAACGGCTCCTGAACACATAGGTTTGCATCATATATATATAGAACTATAAAGCTATCAAGCATTGTAGTGGAGTACTAACTTCCAGCAAATTAAGCGTCCACCCTAATTCTTTCATTTTTTTCTCTAATAATATATCATCCATGTTGTTCTCTTACATTGTACATAGTATGTCAACACCTACAATGATTAATTCGGACCTATATACCATCTAAGGAAATGCAAGCATGTTTGCCTGACTACTTTTCTGCGGGTAGTATGTTCGATTGAATGTGTGTGTTGATTATCAAAAAAAGTACATATATGCTGAAGTTTGACTGTATTAGAAAATAAAGTCTACAAAGCAAACCTCCGTTGTCTGGAGAGTCTTTTGCTAGATGTGAATGAAACCTACATGCTATACATGCAAAAATATTACTGAACGAAGTGACTACCGTGAGTTTTTTTCAAGGGCCTGGCTCACTTCCACTAAGGTATAGCTGTAAAAATGCACAAAACAAAAGTACAGATAACTTCCACCCTGTAATAATGAATATATTTTTCTCTAAACAGTAGAATGTGAATACCAATGCTAACAAAACTGAACCTGGAAAAATTGGAGTGAATTGGGTCATGCCGATAGGCTTAGGGAGCAACTACCTTGTCACATTTCCCCAGAACCTCATCTTGCTCTCCATGCTCTCCCCTTCTTCCTTAGTCCTTACACCAATGCCGCTACTTATAGTTTCCTCCCACTTCTCTATAGCTCTTTCTGCACCACCACTGCCACGCCTCTTTCTTCTCTGCTGTTGGTGGTGGCACAACCATCACCGTCGCTTTTGGAACTCCACTTAATTATTAAGTATACCATGAGTAATGCATTGCCCCAGATTGAGATTGATCATGTTGTTGCATTGACAAAATAATCTGTATTTGGGATATTTTAAAAAATAGCAGTTGTAAAGATATTTTGGTGCAACAACAGCGACAGAATTCTGATTGATCTCCTTGGCATCCCCATATGAGTTGCCTCCTCCGACCATGATGACACCACGCCGCCACTAAATTATAAGCGAGCTTTACCCCATGGTGTTGACCTTGTGAGAGTTTCACCATCTTCTAGGCCTGATCGGTGAGGGGATGGTATTCGGCGGTCACCTTTAGGCAATTTTATCAGATGCCTAATAATATGCCAATTGAACCACACACGGATGAAAAATCCCATATATCTATCCAGATATGAGGGCTGATGGGATCCCTGATGATCACTAACAAGAATGGAATGTTCCAAACGGAAACTGAAGGGATCAAGATTTAACAGAAGATCAAACCTGATAATGTAGCATGCAGCGGCTGGAGACTCCTGACACACGCCTCCGCTGCTGGTCAACCATGGGTCAGCAGCGCCGGTGCGTGCCGACCAAAGGGATGAAGAGACCGACGAGACAACGTACATGTGCAGAGAAGCTCCGGCGGAGGGAGCCGCACATAACTGCCAGGCGAAGGATTGGCTTCGCACAACTCGTTGCCATGGCCTCCTTCCATACGTGACGGTGGAGGGTAAGATGGGATCCGCACCGCCCCCCGCCGCTGCCTCCTTCAATCCATGACGGTAGAGTGGCTCGGACGGTCGTCGCCCTGGGGCTCGGGCTATGGCCAACCTAGAGAGGGAGGGTGCCGCGCGGTCGCGAGGAGAGGAGAGAGCCGGGTCGTTCGGGTTTGTGCCAAAGAGATCCGGAGATGAGATGGACAGGTCGGGTAGAAGGTGGAGAACGTGCGGGCTACCGTGGAACGTGGGGTTCTATTTCCTGTGATTTTTTTCCAGCGAGGCGGGGGAGTAGCATGAGAAGGTCGAACCGTGACGACGTTCGATTCTCTTTTAATAGTAGAGATTTTTGATTGGCATATCAACATAACTCGATATCATTTTAAATAGTTTTTGTTATGCTGTGACTTTTCATCCAATATTCTGGCAACATTGCGTGGGTATTTTCATCTCGCATTAGTAGTGCCTAGTTTCAGAATTAAAATATTCTGCACTGACATCTGGATGATAAATCTGTTTTTCTGGATTATTTCCTTTCAAATGACGTTATTCTCATTGTATGCAGCTCCAGCTCCAGCATTTGTGGTACTGTCCGAATATTTTGCGTGGATGACTTTGAAAAGTCGCATAGTGTGGAGTATAATAACCAGACAGGCATTTGGCCTTCTGCATTCAAGTATGACAGCTCGTCTCACCTCTTCTTGTGATCTTAAATGAATACTACTGTATTTGTTAATGTAATTGATCGAACAAGATTGAATGGTTGCAGGGTAATCTGGGGCTGGAACGACACCGACCTATATGTTGGAAACATGAGCAAGGGAATAGACATTATCTCAGTTGATGTCAATGACAGTGGCCTCTCTGTTCAGAACAGCTCATATCTTAGGAGTGAACACATGACATCCATTCCAAACCGGTTTTCTGCACACCCATATAAAGTTGGCTATCTTGCCTGTTCAAGCTGCACCAGCAAGGTGTACCTTTGGACCAGAGCTTAAATAAAAAAGATTTCTAGTAGCTAACTTGTGAACTCTTCCTGACTTTGTTATTACCAAGTCATGCTTGGAAGATTATCTGTATTTTTGGTAGTTGTAACACCTAATCTTCCTTGACATCCTGCCCGAGAAATGTATAATATTTAGTACTAAGTATTATTCTACCATTTGATATTTAAGATGGTGGACCTGCTAAGTGTTGTGCTACGAGGAATAGAATCTCATGATGCCGATATAAAACCATATTTAGTGTTGTCAAAGTACATGTTAGTATCATTGCACATGCAAATACAAGTATTGCTGATCTCCTACTATGACAATGCTATAACTGATCTGGTGTGGTATCATGATCAGAGTATTGCTGATTGCTTGCAATTTAGTGCAAGTGGACCTGCTAACTCGGACGTCGTGAACCTGATTGCCCCAAGAAGCCATTCGCATGTCACCGACTGCTTCCTTGTTCAAGATTGTCTTCTACTTTATTGTACAGACAAGCTGATTGATTTTAATAGATTTGTTAATTATTCCTTGATTGTTTGACAGTAATCTATAGTTACTTAGTCAGTATTTGGTTCTACCTTACTTTGGAATTATATGTAGTTTTTGGTAGCAATTAAATATATTCTTAGAACCAGGAATTAAGTATAGTTGATACTCCCTCCATCTCAGTTCTCCTTTCTATCCTCCACATTTCGTAGGAAAATAAACATTAGCTTAGACTTAATGAAAAAAAAATCCTATGATGTGAATCAAAGGGCATTGTTCTTTCCTATTCATAATCATCTCATTTTCTATGACTTTTCTATTCCTATGATTTTTCTACCCTATGAATCAAAGGAGGCCTCAGTGTATACAAGGTCACTTCATATTTACGTCTAAATAATTTTTTACCAATAAAATGTAGAAGCTGGAGGAACAAAAAAGAAAAGAAAAAAAGAAACAGGCTTTGCCCATGTGCTTCTACTTGGTCAATGATCAGTTCCCACGTCTGAAGCTCGTTGCTTCAAAGGCGATCCGGCAGGATGCGATGTTTGTTTATTGGAGGGACAAGATCGCTGCTCCCTAGACACTAGGCGTTTACCAAGCTCCACCCACCTTTCTGGATCTGGGAGCAAAAGTATCCTCTTCAGTACAAGGCCAGAGGGGCCTTCAGGCCTCAGCTAAACCAGGTTCGTGTTACGTTCTTCCGTGGTACTGCGTCTCTAAGCTGGCTCTCAGGTCTGATAGATATTGCTTTGATGTGTGTTATGACTTATGAACAGGTGTTTGACTTGAATCGCGGAGAGTTCTCGGTTCAGTTCCGAGTGGGAAAATTGTTGCTGTGAAGCTCTTTGGCTTGCATAAGCTGGGAGAGGAGAAGTTCCGGAACTAGGTCAAGTACCTTATATGAGGATCAAGCACCATAACCTGGTGCACTTTGTAGGTTACTGTCCTGAACTAAGTTGGGAAGCGGTATACCTGCAAAGAAGTCGTTAGAGTTTTATTTTTGCTAAAATACCAGCAAGCTTGCTCTGCTTTGAGCATGGATGTGATGGAAGCCTAGACAAGTATATGCGCGGTACCTTTCTCTTTATTGTACCTTTCTCTGAAGTTTGCTTTATTGCAACACCGCCTTAAATCGATATCAGGGGGAGGTGGTTCTGTTACGACACCACATGTGTAATCATCTAACGGGTTTAGGTTTCATTTCCTTGTTTATCAACTAGATTGGGGTCACGCCTTGGCGCGAGGGTGCCGGTCTCAATGTTCTGGTCAAGCAGGTAATACCCCTAGATTGTCATAAGACCTATATTAAAGCTGAGGTGTGTATACCAAAGAGAAAAAAGCTATTTTTTCTCTTGTATGCTCATAAAATATTTCATAATACAAATCATGATATGTTTCTCATGATTACATAATGCAGGCAATCCCTATACAGAGTGTTATGCAAAAAAACACATATTTCTTCCCATAAAACAATGTAACATAGATTGAGAAGAAGGAAATCATCTGATTATGAAAGAGACGTACTCCCTCCATTCACTTTTGTAAGTCATTTCAGACAACTTCAAATGGGCTATTTTGTACATTGTCTGAAATGTCTTCAAGATCTTATAAAAGTGAACAGAGGGAGTACCAACGATGAATTCATATGAGATTGCAGCTTAATTGTGAACTCAGTGGCCCAATAATCTGCTATTCGAACGGCAAACGCAACAAGAAAAAGTATCATCACACACACGATGACTACTGTAGCCAATAACCACTCAGCCGCATTCACTTAGTTGTCTATTAGTAAGTGTGCACGTGAAAATTCACGTGTATAGAGAAGATAATCCGATAGTAGTAGTCAAAAATATTGCAAATGAACCTAGCATGTTTTTGTACAAAGTCAAGGATGGTCATTCTCTTTGTTTCAGAAAAGCTATAGTTCAGATAATCTACTTTGTAATGTACCTAAGCATGTTTCTCTACAAAGGCCATTCTCATTATTCCTGAGAAGCTGCTGGCTGTTCTTCAAAATTGTGAATGCCACAAATACATATGTCCGGTATCTTTTTTTCTTCCTTTCTTTTGATGAAAAAATGTATCAGAAAATGCACCACTCCTTTGGTTAAATAAATGCATTGTAACATCCCAAAATTCTAAATTTTGGAATGTTATAATAAATAGATGGATTTGACTGATTGTTTGATTGATTGTCTGAAAGTGAGTGAATTCGAAACTTTTTGAAAGTTAAATGAGAGGAAATAAAAGGACTTTCCCAAACTTTCATTTTGCATTTTGATCTCCATGAATTCAAATTCTTTTCAAATACAAAACTCTCGAGAGAAGATGATATGACTTCTTCCATTTAAATTAAATGACAAGGGTTGTTGAAAATATTTGAAAATATTTTCAATTCTGAAACTTTATGCAACTCAATGATTTTCACGAGAGAAGATAAAATGATTTCTTCAAATTATATGAAATATGAGTTGGGAGTTCAAAGATTTAAATTCAAAGTTCTTTTGAATTTATTTTCAATTTGGATTTATTTGAGTTTTATTCAAATTATTTTTCTCCAAAATCAAAATACATGGAAAATAGGGTAACATGATTCCCTACATTAGAGAATTGGAGAAAAATTTATTTGAAATCATTTTGGTATTTTTAAAATGTTTTTTGTTGGATTCTATTAGACCAGTAGCACTCTTTGAATTATCTGAATTTGTGTGGATTTTATTTGAAGTTAAAAAAATGTTCATGTTGCAGAAAATCTTTTTCTGAAAATTTTGATATATTATATGCCTATATAATATTTTTAATTATTTTGCTTTTATTATTTTATTTGTCTGGAAAATAATGTAAAAAAAAAGAACTTCCCTCGCCGACTGGGCCGGCCCAGCTCCTGCCAGGCCGCGGCCCAGCCCAGCTCCCCGTCCGCCTCGCCCTCCAGCTCGGGACGAAGTCCCGAGCGACGCCGCGACCGCCGCCGCCTCGACGTTCTACCGTGCCCGGACTCCCCTCGCCGCCTCTCTCCTCTCTCCTATAAAATCCGGAGCCCCGGGCCTCCTCTCTCTCTCCTCTCCCCGCAACCGCCGCCTCCCGCCGCTGCTGGCTGCCCGCGCCGCCGACGCACATCGCCGCCGCCGCCGCTAGCTGCTGCTGCTTTGCCGCCTCTACCGCGACGCCGCAGCTGCGCCTCGCCGCCTTGCCGCGCCGCACCGCCGCTACTCGCGTAGCCTCCGCCCTTGCTGCCTCGCCACGCTCGCAGGAGCTGCCTCGCCTCGCTCGCCGAAGAACACCGCCGCCGCTGGTTTTTCGCCCCGAACCGCCCCGAACCGGTATAAACCGCCCCTGTCCGGTTTATTTTATATTTTATAGGTTTTCTCTGGTTTTCTTTTAAAACCGGTTTTTGTTAGGTTTATTATTTAGAGAACGTTCGCTGGTTAGGTATAGAAAACGAACGTTCGCCCTTTAGTTTCTTCTTTTTCTGTTATTTTCGGCCAGGGACCTATTTGTGATAGTTTTTCTTACAGATTAGTCCCTCGGTTTCAAACGACTATAACTTTTTACTCGTTAGTCCAAATTCAACGAAACCAACGCCCACTCTTCGTTATGATCTCCTCTATCCGGATAAACAACTTAAACATGTTTTTGAAAAGTTCAAAATTTAAATTAGATCAGATTTGAATTCAAACTTTGTTTGATCATAACTTGAGTTTCGTAGCTCCGTTTGAGTTGATTCTTTTTGCAAATCGAAGCTCTTGACCTAAACCTTCTAATAAGGCCAAATTCACATAATTTTGGTACTGTTAGAAATTGTTTTATGTTGCAAGAGCTATTTGCTTGGTTTTGATGTTTCCAAATCGTCTTCTTCATTCTTTCTGATCTTTTGAGTAATTGCTTATGTGTGGTTACTATTGTTTGCTTACGATAGATTGACCGGAGTGTGACGAGTAGATCTATCAAGAGTTTTGAGTGCGAATCATCTTCATCAACATTGCAGACAAGTTCACACCTTGATCATACCTCTTTCATACCCAGTTTTTGTTGCATTAGATCAAACCTCAAACATTGCATGATTAGGATCTAATTAAATTGGGGGTATTGGGAAGTAGTTGATGAGGTAGGAACCTATTGCCCTGCATTCAAACCTTGGGAGTTACTTTTACGTTATGCTTACATGGCCATGCTATGCTCGTAGACGTGGATTGGGTTTTGAGAGTATCCATGACATATGTGAGATTGTTAATTAATGGTTTACTTAAGGTGGCAACTTAAACACACATCTGGGTGGATTGAGGCACCTGGTTATTCTAGGATTGCCTGTCTAGGCACGTGGGTAATCCAGGACTTGCCTGTTTTCTTTTGGACCGCCACCCAGGCTCAAAGGGATCATGAGATTTTTCAAACTAGAAACTTCCGTGTGCACCCACAAGCCATTATGGGCTCTGGCATAGTTGATTAAGTCGTGCGAACTCTTATAGGGTAGACTAGCAGATGTAGGGGAAAGTAGGTGTACCAGTCTATCCATCGTA